TCACCATTACACGCATCTAGCAGCACTCATATCATCACCTTCACCTCTGCAGTACTGCTTTTGCCGTCATTCTGGGCTAAAAATAAGGCCTGTATTTTAAATTGGTCTTTTTCTGCTTGTTTTCCAGTTCACTGACAAATTAAAAAGCATGGGACTGGAAAGTGACAGCAAAACCAACTGGAGAAATGGGGACAGTGGAGGGGTATTTTATCTGGAGAATAATGGAGAGTTCAGATGAATGTCAAAAGTATCCTTAACACTCCGTAAAAATTTCAATGATATGAAGTAATAATACCTTATTGCTTTGAGGAACAGGAAAATATTATTAGTTCTAGTACTTTGTAAAATATGTACTACATTAAGTACATGACGCAAACGCATTAAGGTTGTGTTTAAATCCACTTTTACTATTTTAAGAATGGAATAGTATGGTCTGTGGTTTTTAAAATACAAAGTGTGGCTATGGTTTGTATAATACATGCTGATGTCTATGAGGATGACATGCTAATCCTTTTACACCTAATCTGATCATGTCTGTTATTCACAACAAATACACTAAGAAACTATAGAGAATTAAAATCTAGTTGAGAAACTAGAGTGTTTACTTCATTTTTCAAGTGAAACAGCCACTCTTACACAAGTCTATGAGTTTGCATGTTGTAAATCCAGCTCTCTCCCTGCAGTGCAGATTAACTTGGTGACACATTCGTTGTAGTTGAAAAAAAAAGGAATATCTCCCTTTTCATTTGGAACTTTGTATGCTTTTATAACCAACCACGCAACTATACACACTGAGCACAATTTTAAAAAGGGAAAACACATAATAGGCATCCCTGACAAAACTTCTATTTCTCACAGGAGTCTTACGAATTTCAGACCCATCTCCCGGTTTGTCAGTTCTCCCGTAAAACTATAGAATTTCAACCCCTTGCTCTGTTCCTCAGCTTTTTGGTACAATCCCGGATCGCTGACCATTTCGATGGCAATGGCTGTTACCCATTGCATAGGACAGGTCAGGCACCCCTTCAAACCGCTTCCTACAGTTGGCAGGAATGATAATAGGACCCTTTTAACAATACCCTGTAATTGTAGTACCTCAATGCAATAAAATAAATGATACATCAACTAGTTGAAGAAAATTTGCAATGTTTAGTAAAAAAACATTTCTAAACATGCGTATAGTACAGTGTTAATGTGCATTTACCACTCAATGCATCAATTGGTTTAAGTTCTGCTTAGTTTCCAACATACACTCCCTCAGCCATTCACTTGGACTACAACTCCCAATATCCATTGCCCCTAATCACTCCACAGCTGTTGCACATTTTTCTGATTCTGTTACACATGTTTGTGTTTATCTGGACTATTTAAGCACAACTTTAATGCACATTTTCTGCTCAGTCTTGTTTCATGTTCAACATCTGTTCACATTAACATCTGACTTTTTAAAAAATGGTTATGTGCCTTTTTATTCAGTGTATGTAAACTTCTGGTTTCATCTGTACTTATTGAAATGCTTGCAAATTTGAATGGTGGATCATATACCGATGGTAGTGATATGGATAAAGGACTGAAGGCCTGAAGGTTGGCTGGTTCCTAACAGATTGAATATAGTGTATGTTTCCTATTTGATTATTTAATTGGTAACCAATTCCTAATGCATTCACTTATATGACTTACAGTATTACTTCAGTTGGTCATGATAATATGAAAGACTATATGTGATTTACTGATAGTGCTCTCTGCTGGTAAAAATCATCACTACATGACTGCACTAGTAACCACCATGTTTTTGTGGTTAATTTGTGAGGTAAATGTGTTGCAAATCAATAAGATATTTGGGAAGAGGCCAGTCAGTAACTGGTAACCAAAAACCATGATAAGTTAAGATTTACAAATTGCCAGCGTTTAACCAGTTAACATTAATATGATTCAAATGAATGAATTCCAGTTATTTGCATTTTGCCTCTCAGAGCAAGCTGACAAAACAGTAAACATGGTCATGTGACTCAGGAAGGTCATGACAGACTTTTTAATCAACTTTTAAGGTTTTGGGTGATGAGACTGGTTGCTGTAGTGCTTTTATTTAGTTACTTTTGTTGAATTGTCCATGCATTTTTTAGATAGATTACATTCAACTTTATTTTCATTACACATGTACAAGTACAATGCAATGAAATGCAGTTTAGGTCTAACCAGCAGTGGAAAAGCAGCAAGTGCAGGATACAGGTATCAGTTATAAAGTGCAGTTATAGAAAAACTATGCTGATATTTACAGATGGATGTACTATCAACATTATATACAGGTTGTATTAGCTATGAACAGAGGTTTACAATGAATATATGTACATATTGACTATTAATAATCAGAAGTGTGCAGATAAATAACCATGATTACAAATGTATATGTACAGTGGGTGTGTACATAATTACAAAAGACCATGTGCAAGGGTATATACAGTTCAAATAAGTGAATTAGTGCAATTTAGTACAATGAATATGTGCAAATTTTAAATGCGCAAATGTTAAACAGTGAAGTGGTTGCCTCATACCATACATTTTGATAATCTACTGCTGCACAAAACATATGCAATGACACTGAACACAAGCAAATGTCCACACACATATTAAATATTAAATTAGCACTCATGCAGCAACTTCCAAATGTATAAGTGATATTTTCCAGAAAGTTCCTTGTTTGCTCTTTTTTTATTTTTATTGAAATCACCTGGTGGAAACATGCCTATTTGGGAATGCGTTACACGCTTTATAATAATTTGCAATGGTTGACTTGCCTGAAGAATGATTTTTAAATGGATTCATAGTTTATTGTTTGTATATTAAGCTGTAGATGTTTTATACAATATATTAAAATAGTGTTTTGAGAGTTAAAGCATCTTCCACATGATCCATTAGATTAGATGTTCTGACCAGCAACAACATGCAAACGTCTTTAATGAAAATGAGGGCTTTGAATGTCAAAATGTCTCATGCCTTGTTATTTAAAAAAAGAACATTTATTTTACATTTTTGTTACTTTTGATCTCAGATAATGTAACGTTATGGTGCAGACTGAACGCCCTTGCCTCATTCTGAAACATATATTGGTGTTTAAAAATGAATCAAAGTGTAATTGTTGTGGGGCAAAGTGTATGGGTTTAAATTTAAATGTAGTAAAATGGCTTAAAGGGTGTACATTCTACATTCTACATTCTGATTGGTAGCTTTAAGCGATAATATATTTGTCAAAGACCTCGTAAACAAATAGATGAGAGCCAGGGGATTTATTAGATTAAGCTCTGGTCCACATTGCAGCTTATAGTGTTTGACCATTTAAAGGGTGTATTTATGTGGAATATAGTGGGTAAAATATAACATCGTCAGTTTACATCAGTCTGTTACACGTCCATTATCCTCGTCAGGTGACAGGAGAAACTGTACAGTAAGTCTCACTGTACAAATAAAAAGGATTTACTGGACAAACTATTTTGAGGTAAGAAACTTCAACTTCACTTCTGGCCACAATGGATTTACTGTTCATGATTGTTTATATGACAGATCTATAAGCATCTAAATTCAGCAGGTTCTCCAGCTCTGAGCGTAGGTAAAGCACCTATTTTAATCCTTGTGTTGTCCTAGAATTCTGTATACATCTTTCGCCCCAAGGGTCAAAAATGACAAAATCACAATAGTGAGTCAATATTTTAGTGATATGCCTTTTGGTGCTGGTATTGATGGTGTGTCAGTCATAATAATTAATAATCTTGTTTGGTTTGACCTAATTGAACTCAAGTGTGTCTCCATTTAGTTTGGAACATTTGAGCTGCTACAGCAATCCCACACTGGTGTCCATCAAAAAAATAAATCAAGACCCAGCTGGAGATGTTGTCTCATTCCATTTCAAAGCAAAATCTGGTATTGTTTGTTTAAGGTGTTGATATGATCCAACTACAATCAGACACATTTGCTGAAAAGCCCTACGCCTTTTGAGTTAACAGGAGCTGTGCACCTGAGGTGTCTGGTGTTTCTAAGCAACCACCAGCCGTGATCTCTTTAATGCAGTGGTTCGCAAACTTTTCAGCCCAAACTTTTTACCCCCAAAATAGCAATGCCAGTGACTTGCAACCCCAACATTCCTCTGAGGTGGTTATAAACATACAAATATTTTATGTTCTTTTTTTAAACATGCAACTTTTGCAAATTTCTATTGAACCCACTATTAGAACGGCTAACTTAATAACAGAAAAAAAGGTGTTTACAGCCTGGTCCAAAAAACGATTTTGGTTCATATAGCTAATATTACCCTTCATGACAACTGTGATGGGGGGTTAATTTCTTTGTAACTCAACAGTTTCATTTATATTAAGTTATATTTAGTCTGCATAATTAAGGGTGTGGATATTTGAGTGACAGCTAGGTCTTGCTGGTCACCGTCTCGTCAACTGATTCCGGCTGATTAGCCGCTGAACCTATAAACGTAGAAATTGTTAATTTTGTCATGTATCGTATGCAGTTATGGTGGAGTTTTAAGTATGTTGTTTTAGCCTATTTTTTAAAAAAAAGTAATGTTTTTTTGTATTAATTATAAGGACTGATAATAATAATTTAAAGAGGTTCATATGTTTATGGGTAAATGGTTCTATGACCAACAGGTTCAATAATGTGTAAGAGTACAACTTATCATATGCATTTGTTTAGATATGGTCACATGTTGGTTGGTCAGTTTGAATGTCTCAGCATTTGGGCTTGGGTCACATGGTAAAGAAAGATACAAAATAGGTGGTAAACCTTGCTCTGTCTCTTTTCCTGCTCTGATCCTTTCCTGCTCTGTCTTGAGTCTATGTTCTCTGACTCTACTGCTATTAGGCTCACTTTGAGGCCCTACGCTCTGGTCTTTGTCTCTCTCTCTCTCTCTCTCTCTGTCTCTCTCTCTCTCTCTCTCTGTCTCTCTCTCTCTCTCTTTCTTTCTCTCTCTCTGTCTCTCTCTCAGGCAACTTTATTTTACATGTAAACTGGGTACAGTTACCGTTTTTATCATTTTTATCATTTCATGTTATATCATTTTATACAGTTATTTGTGACTAATTCTCTTGTAATCTAAGCAAGTTAGTGTCATTCAATAATTTCATATTCAAGTAGTTGTGAATTACTTTTAATGTAACATCAACACTTTATTGCTCCATATTGCAATACAAAACAATCACATAATGGCAACGCTTTCCCACATTTACTAGCTATTAATGCTGACCTATTTTCCTCTATTATCTCCCGAACACTAGAACACTTTTCGCCAGCATAATGATAACTTTTTAGTCATTCGGCAAAACTTTTGTTTGAACCGCTGTAGTTAAAAAACATTATAACATATGTGAATATTTAAGTTAAATATGTTATCTTTCTTTTATCTGCTGTCAGTCCGTCAGCTCACCACTGGTGCTGCTAAAAAGTTTTTGTTTATAAATCCCATCTATGCCCAAAAATAGCATATTTCAGAGCCTGTTTTGGGCATGCTTAACGTTAATGAGTCCCCAGGTGCAAACAGGGCCCTAAATCAAAAAATTCAATTCAACATGCTCTACTTGGTACAATGGTACTGTAAACAGATTTTATTTTTATCTCTCATTAGGAGCCAACAGAAAACATCCGTCTGAGCAGTCATGGAGAGTCTGTTTTTGCTTCTGCTGTCAGGTTGGTTGGCTGTAATCTGTATTTTTGAAGACGTGTGCAGATATAGATGATTTAACATGTTGGTTTTTACAGGGCTCCTCTGCAGCAGTTCTGCTATTTCTCGTCAGTATCAATATATAAACCTGCAGATGTCATGGTCAGATGCTCAGAGTTACTGCAGAGAGAGATTCACTGATCTGGCTACTGTAGACACCATGGATGATGTGAACGTACTGATGCATTCAGTGGATGATGGATACAGTGGATCAGTGTGGATTGGACTGAAAAGTGGAACAGAGAAACGATGGGGTTGGTCGAATGGAGAAAACTCTTCTCAGTACTTTAACTGGGCTTCAGGAATGCCAAATGATGATGGATATTGTGTAGCTACTTTTTCCGGCTCTTGGAGTAATATGCCATGCAATTATGGGCGATATTTTGTGTGTTATAGTGAGTTCTGCATTCTTTGAAGTGTTTTATTCTGCAGTTTAACTTAAGAGATTATGAAGAGATGAGGAACTAATACTTAATTTTTTTCTAACAGAAAACACTACATACTACATGATACAAAATGCTGGTACTTTACACTGGACAGAGGCTCAGAGTTACTGCAGACAGCATTACACAGACCTGCCCACAATCCACAGCTCTGTGGAGAACGACAAGCTAACTGCAGTAGCTTTAAAAGGATGGTACATCTGGATTGGTCTGTTCCGGGACACTTGGGAATGGTCTGATCAGTGGGATCTCCGATTCAGATACTGGGCAAAAGGTCAACCAAACCAGAGAGTACGGCCTGACTGTGCCAGCATGTCAACAACTGATTCTGGGAAATGGAGTCAAGAAAGTTGTAATGTCCTGCATCCTTTTATCTGCTATGCAGGTGAGTTTAATCAGTTAATAGAAACATGATCACTCTTGAAACATTCAGATTGTGATGTATCAGTAATGTCTCTTCCTTGTTGAAAATGACTACATGTGTGTATTTCACTAGAGGAAAAGAGAAAACAAATTGTCAAACTGAAATTATCCTGTGTTGGAAATTGCAAACTGAATGATCCTTCACTGCAGACTGCCATTCTGAATCAGGTTTGTGTCTGCCTTCTACGCTCTCAATTTGTAGTTCAACAACACTGCTTTTAGGTATACAGTTAATGAAATGGTTAAAATTCATTCATTCATTTTCCTTCGGCTTAGTCTCTTATTTATCGGAGGTCGCCTCGGCGGAATGAACCACCAACTATTTTGGCATATATTTTATGATGCCCTTCCAACCACAACCTAGCACTGGGGAAACAACCAAACACTCTTGCATTCACACACACTAAGGCTAGTTTAGTTTATTCAGTTCACCTATAGCCAGGGCTCTGAACCTATTCAAGGAATGGAAACACAAAACGAAAACAAATGATATTTTGCAAGAGCGAAAACAAAAAAACGGAAACAAAATCAATTTTAATCATTCTGAACAGAAACTTTTATTTGAAATTACAGTGAACCAGTTGATAAGGTTATTTTATCGTTCTATTTATTTTATGAATTTGGGAGACAAAAAGCATTCATTTAAATCGTGTGTACAAGCGCGACGGTGATGCGTGCAACGTGAAATGTCGATTTGTAATATTGAACGATAAGGGGCAGATCATAAACATGATAAAGTTTTGAATGATATATTATCAAAACACCCAAGCATTTTCCATTTGGAGAATTACAGTAATTAATAGCTTAGTCCTTATAAACAATCCATTAATAAAACACATTATTTACAAGGCTACTGAAGAAATAACCGAATATGATCCGCATATAGTGATCACAGTGAAATAAGGTAAGCGCTCTTTTTATATATAAACTATAAATGTCTGGCCGTGACACGTATTTATGCCTGTCTATAATAAGATAAAACTGCTTAAAACACTTTAATATTTTAGAGAAAGTAGGTAAAGTTTGCACAAACAATGTTTGGTCTTATTCACATGCGGCCCATAATTGACCCATGCCCTCCTAAGTTACTGTTGCTCGACTGTCAAGCTTTCGTGCCTGCAACGTCTATTACAATGTGTATGCGCCAGAGTCAGACATTGCCAGGGATATAACTATTCATTTTTGACAAACAGGTGAGATATCGGAGAAAGCTGGACAAAAAGGACTGCAGTGTGCATTACAGGTGTATATTCACCACATAATAGGCAACGATTAGAAAATAATCGAATCAAAATTTAAGCTAGCTTAGCCTAGCCGCCTAATAGGCTGACCATTCAGCAGCTTAGTTCATGCACAGCAGGAGAGGTAAAACTTTAAAATAATCTAATAATAACTAATTAAACTGTAGTTTATCTTATTCAGCCAAAATGCCTGATAAGACTATTGTGAAATGAAATGTCGGGTTACTAACCGACGAGGAAACACACATGGACAGTGCTTCTACATAATTCATTCAAAGAAAGAACAGCCAGAAAGGGGAAATTGGTGGATTTGTGTCGAATATTAGCATCATTTACCCATAATGATGTACACCTATCACTGTCTGTACGTACAGTATGTTTGTGCACTCTTTATACTGTTTCTATTCTAATTTGCAGTTTAGTGGAAGGAATAAATGAATTGAAATGCAAATTAAAGTAGCAGAAGTGACAAAATAGATTCTCCCTACCAGCAAAGATTAATCCGGCACCAAATATAAAACCAGACACTAACCCGCTATAACATCATCACCAATAACTAAATCTCCAAAACACTAAAGAAAACATCAGTGAATTGTAGCTCTGACATGGACATGAGGGTTATAAATGACTGAAAAACAGCTGCGGGTGAAGTATATTGATCTCAAGTGCTCAGATTGAGATCACATCTCGGTTTCGTTCTGTTGATGTGTAATTTCAAATATTCGTAGTTTTAAACAGATGGAAATATGATTGCTATTAGTATGACTACTATGGTGAAGGCTTAAATAGAGCAGTGCTCATAATATCGAGCAAAAAAAAAAAAAAAAGAAAGCAACTGCTGGGAAACATAACCTGCTTTGTATTTTTGTATGAAACAGTTTAGATTTGTTTAAAGTAAAAGCTTTGTGAGTTATTGCCGTCAGTTTCCCTCGCTCGAAAGCTTGACAGAGCTCCTGCCCATAGCTACGGTTGCTAAGTCACGATTGGTAGGTGGTGGTTTTTGGTTGTGGCTTAGCGAAGAGTCAATTAAACATCATGTAGCCTACTTCGTGTAGTGTGTAGCGCCCTTAAGCAGTGTGTGTCAATCAACTGCTGCTGGTGAGCAAGAGCATGCGTAAGAGTGCAAAGCCACTATTGATACAACCAAAAGCAAGATCATATTATAAATATTCCATTATTAATTAAAGATAAAGCCTGTATTTTCATTTATTGTTTTCTTGCTTGTTTTCCAGATCACTGAAAAATTAGAAAGCATGGGACTGGAAAGTGACAGAAAAATAAACTGGACAAATGGGGGCATTAAAGAGGTGTTTCGTCTGGAAAACAGCAGTGTGAAGAGTCCAGATAATAAATGTGAAAGGTATCCTTAATGTACTGTAAATAAATTAATGATTTGAAGTAACGTTACAATATTGCTTTGAGGAACAGGAAAATGTTACAAGCAGTAGTACTTTATAACATATGTACTACAAAAACTACTCAATCTAGTCCAGCTGTAGATAGAAATATTTGCTTTTTACAAGACAAGTAAGAGATTTATTAATTTAGTTAAATTTAGTTAATTTAATTCCACTTTAACATGTTTATCGATTTTTTTTCTTGTCAAATAATTTATAATCTTATAGGTTGCCAATCTGTATTGGCGCTTTAGCTGTTGAAATGTTGGGTTTTGGGTGAACTGTCACTTTAATAGTTCTCTGTGATAACAGGACAGTCTCATACATTACTGTCTCCATCTAGTGGTTAACCATAGGCTCTTTGACATCAATAGATAAATATATAGTTTGCAAATGGCTATGATATTTTACATTTTATCAATCCTAGTGATCCACAGCCCATTTCAAAATAAAAAAACTAAAGGTGTGTCATAAGAAACGTAATGTATCTTGATGTGATTTAATGTTGATAATCTTTACTGATTAACTATGAAAGCATGGACATTACTCATACACACTTTTCAGATGTGTTTAATCTCCTCTATTAGGTGATCTATCTTGTGAAGGTGTACACACTACAGAATAAATTGTATTGTCTGTTTCAGTGTGAAATTTCTGTTTTGTGTTAGGGTTGTTTTGCTGTTGGTGGTGCTGTGATGAATTTTTGTGTGTGTGTGTGTGTTTGTTGTTTTTTTTTTTTTGGATGGTATATATATATATATAATTCATCTTAAAGTGTATAAAAAAAAAAATATATATATATATATATATATATATATATGTGTGGGCCCCATGGGTTTTGATAGCAAATACATCATTAGTTGTTCTATTTTAACAACATAAATGTGATGTCAAAAGCATTGAGAGCATGAGAACCATGAGCATGAGAACCACTTATGATGTATGTGCTATCAAAACTGTATATTCTATCCCACCTAACCCAAGCCAACTCCTAAACTCAACCCTCACAGGAAACATTATGCATTTTTTCATTTTCTAGATTCTACATTCTGTCTTATCTCATTCTGACTTATACGCATTTTTACCCATGGGGCCCGCAATTTTTGTCTCAATATCAATGCAATGTCACTTTGAGCGTGTGCTGCGCTGCAAAAATAGACCCAGCACCGAAACTATCGCAGCACTGTTGCTTCAGCGACACTCACGCCTCGCTCTGACGCGCTGCTGCTGCGTGCAGTATGAAAACTCTAATCCGTTAACATGGACGCTAAATAAACACACTGCTCACATTCTGCTCATGCGCTGCTTACGCTTGTGGTGTGAAACAGGCTTAAAGGGTCACGAAACACCAAAACATATTTTTTGAGCTGTTGACAGTCATATATGTGTCCCACACTGCTAAAAACACTATTAGGACACCTATATTTTACTAAAAAGTGTAAATTGGTTGTTTTTGCGTTATTTCAAGCAAATTCGTACTTCCGGTTTGAAACGAATTTTTGAAGCTGCGTCACGGCCATGACATAATAGCCTGTATTCCACTTACAGTGTGTTGCATTAATGCATGAGTAAGGCTTGGTTCAAACCAATCAGCGCGCTCTATTGTGCAACTTCATTAATATTCATTACTATCACCGTGTTTTCAGGACAGAGACGCCACGTTGTGTTGGCAAAACAAGCGTGAAGTGTTGCTTTTATAGTTTGCTGCAGTTAAGTTTCGTTTTCATTTTCTCTCTGTGAGAGCTCAGACTCACGTGTGGATAACAGTGTACGCGACGCGCGACAACAATAACTTACGTGTCCAAGAAGGATTATTGTTTACCTGAGAGCTGTTCTCATCTGCAAACGGTGAGATCCAGATTCGCTTTAGTCTCCTCTTAATAAAGACTCTAGTTGCTGGTGATTGTCCTGTCTCTACAGATTTGGTAAGTGAGCAACCAGTGCTCTTTGTTTATTCAGTTCGTATTTTATTCGTATCAAACAAACTATTGCAACAAGTGCAAACAAGTTAGCACTAACAGTTACAACCAAACTATAACCTCGTGTTGGATTTTGTGACCGGAATAACACACGCGGCTTTCTGACGCTACCTGCCGTGTGCATCTAAGTTTCCGGGAAATGCTGAGTTTTTTTTTCTCTCATTCGCCGTGCGGTATCAAACATTGCATGAAAAATACACGCTTAGAGCAGTTCCTCGAATCAAATATCACGTTTGTCGGGAGGGACATAAATGAATTCCCTGAATGAAAGAGCCAAACTGCATTTAAAGTCCACCATTTAATAATCTGGCAAATAATTCGACTACAGATGTCCATGTAAACACAGTCACATTGTCCGCTGTGGTTGTGTGTTTTGACTCTGAAATTCAGCGCGCCCAAATAGACACTCCCACACCAAGCCTCTTTTCTTCCTCCGACACTCCCCCCTAAACAGAGCTGGACACGCCCACTTTTCTGACTTTTTCCAAAGTAGAGGTGTGAAAACACCCTGCTGAAACGAGAGGGTTTCATGGCCCTTTAAGAAAATGAGCCAATGAATGCCAATAAGTTGGCAGAGCTTGGCCCTGCAGGTGCCAGTGATTAATCATTAGTAAATCATTAACTGGCTCAGTTAGATTTTCGCATCAGAGCCTCACACCAGAGACCGAAGAGTAATTCTGCCAACGTGATTTCACAGAGAAACCAGTGCGGGCAACGACATGACAGCGGCGGTCGAACTGGGCCCCTTTTCCCATCCCCTGGACGTCTTGCTGGTAGCTTCCTTATAAGAGCAGATCCCATAAAAGAGCAACACGGTTGAGCAGCACATCTTTTTAAAGATGATGTTCTGACCGTGCGTTTGTGGGGGGATGAGATCACACTCAACAAGAAGTGTATCTTGGACGTTAGCATGCTATGTCTCTCTCACAGATATTTGTAGAGCTGCGGACTGGGCGACACCTAATGCTTTTACAAAATTTTATACCCTTAAATTGGAGCGAGTTTCCTCCCGAGTGAGTAACCCTGGTCAATAGGGAGAAAACTAATCTCGGAGTCAAAAACGCTTGCTGCCCCATGTTCCCTAACCCAGAAATAAATGCACTTATTCTGCTTTGCTAAAGCGAGTTTCCCATTTAGCAATCTATAGAGAGATCCTCCAAGGCCCCCAGCACCCTACTCAATGGAGGAGCCTGGTGCCTGGCCCAGTACGATGTCTAATCTTGGTCTAACCATGTGCTGGGGTTCTGTGCCAGCTATGTGCGATCACCGGTGGCAAACCCATATGTGTTATTCAGCCACGGTGAGTTTTTCCTTACCAGGATACAGTTGTCATAGTTGGAAGGCACTCCAACTATCTGTACACTACATCAGCCATTCACCTGGACTACAACTCCCAACATGCATTGCAACTAGTCACTCCATAACAGCTGATGCACATTTCCTTGATTCTGTTACACCTGTTTGCAATCATCTGGACCATTTGAGCACCACTTTTACACACATTCTCTGCTCATTCTTGTTTCATGTTGCTTGTTATCCTTCTGATTTTGTTTGTTCCCTGCCCTGACCTTTTGCCTGTTGTTTTATGGATTACTCTTGTGAATTACCCCCTTTATATTGTAGTTTGCTGGTGTTTTGACCCCTGACCCCTTTATCTGACCATTTTAAATAAAAAGCTGCACTTGCAACTCCACCTTCGTTTTCCTCCATTACTATGACAGTAATAACACAGAATCACTGCGCTTCGAGCTTACGAGACCCTCCGGCCTGGGGCTCCCTCCTGTTTGCAGGGAGAGAGGGGAATTTGAGCTCAAGGAGATCTCGATGAACTCCCCCGACTTATTTCTAGCTAATGACAGATATAGGCTAAGAAGAGATGTACGCTTTCTACACTTGGCTATGGTATCAATTTGGTATTTTCAATTTACTTGCATGTTTTTGGACTGTGGGAGGAAACTGGAGGACCTGATGAAAACTCACGAGGAGAACGTGCAAACTCCACACAGAAATGTCAACTGGTTAAGTAGGGACTTTAACCAGAGACATACTTGCTGTGAGGCAACAGTGCTAATCACTGAGCTGCCGTGTCGCCCATCTGAAAAGGAGAGTGAGTAGGGGTGGGTAGGATTCTTCAAGACGAAGATACTAAGATAAGAAAAATATGGTGATTTAAAGAGAGTTAGGAATCATCTGACAGGTGAATTAATCATGAGCTGTTGCCGACCATCTGTGGTAAATCATAAGCACATGATCCTGTCATTGCCATTACTTTTGCCATTCTGTCATTTAAAACTGAGTATATACTTGTTGAAATGCTTGCAATGTGTTTATGAATGATGAAAATATGCAAATGGTAGCAATATGGATAAGACTGAAGACTGAAGGGCTGTGTTGCATAGGTTGGTTCTTATAAGATGGAATTGTCACGTTATGCGTGATCAAAACAGGAAACAAAAAGGTGCGGATCCAAGTGCAGATTTATTTACAGTGCATCAACATAAAACAAGGTGTTCAAAGTACAAAGTAACAAATAAACGACAAAACCAGAAACTAAATCAGAGACGAGGCTCAGGAAACAAACTCAAACAACTAAACTTAACTAGAAAACAGACAAGACAAATAACACACAAACTAGACTAAGGCAAAATACAAGAACAAGATCAGAATAATAAACTCAGAATACTAGACTTACTGGATTAACTGGAACAAGAAAGACAAGGAAGACAACGACGCGATCACAAACAGTGGTGGAATGATGGAATATATAGTCCAGATAATCAACGGTAACACAGAACAGATGTGATGACAGATCAGTGTATGTGTTCCGGTGTATGCGCGTGGTATGTATGGAATTGTAGTCTTTCTGGGACGCTGTAGTGCCTTCTGAGTCCTAATGCACTACAGCGCCCTCAGGTGGTCACTGACAGATGTGACAGGAATATAGTGTATAATTCCTATTTGTTTATTTAATTGGGAACCAAATCCTAAGGCTTTTACATCATTGCATTTTGTTAGTTTGTATGTATTGAACGAGCTTTTACACAGTACATAATGTTGTCTAGTTATTTAAGTGTCTAAATGTGCTGAATAAAATGGCGGTTCATTCCGCTGTGGCGACCCCAGATTAATAAAGGGACTAAGCTGACAAGAAAATGAATGAATGAATAAATAATTACAGTATTATTATAATGTAATAATAGTATGAGATTTTACTGCTCTCTGCTGGTAGAAATAATCACTACATGACTGCACTAGTAACCACCATGTTTTTGTAGTACATTTGTGAGGTAAATGTGTTGCAAATCAATGAGATTTTTGGGAAGAGGCCAGTCAGTAACCAAAAACCATGATAAGTTGAAATTTGCAAATTGCCAGATTTTAACCAGTTAACATTAATATGATTCAAATAAACAAATTCCAGTTATTTGCATTTTGCCTCTCAGAGCAAGCAGACACAACAATAAACATTGTCATGTGACTCAGGAAGGTAATTGTTTTGAAGACAGACTATGGCATAGGAATTTTTATAATTGATTGAGACAACTTGTGAGGTTTTGGGTAATGAGATTGATCGCTGTAGTGCTTTTATTCAGTTACATCCGTTGAATTTTACATGCATACCACATGTTTAGACAAGCTGCTGCTGCGCAAAATATATGTAATGACACTGAACACAAGCAAATGTCCACACACATTATATATTAAATTAGCACTCATGCAGCAACTTCCAAATTTATTAGTGATGTTTTCCAGGAAGTGCATGATCTGTTCTTTTTATTTAAAACACCTGGTGGAAACATTTGTCCATTATATTACAATCTCTAGTGATTGAGAGAAAGAATGGAGTATGATTTTTAAACAGATTTATAGTTTAAGCTGCAGATGTTTCATAAAACATACAACAGTGTTTTGAGAGTTAAAACACCTTTCACGTCCATTAGATCAAGATGTTCAAGATCAAACAACAACATGCAAATGGATTTAATGAAAATGAGTATTTTGAATACCAAAATATCCCATGCCTTGCTGTTTAAGAAAACAAACAAACAACAACAACAATTACAGCAAACATTAAATTTAAAGTTTTTCTTTGTTACTTTTGATCTTAGATAATGTAATGTTACAGCGCAGACTAAACCTCCTCGCCTCATTCTGAAACACATCGAGGTGTTTAAAAATGAATCCAAGTGTAATTGTTGTGGGGGAAAGTGTATGAACTCATGGATTTAAATGTAGTAAAATGGGTTAAAGGGTGTAAATTCTACATTCTGATTGGTAGCTTTAAGCAATAATACATTTGTTAAACACCTTGTGAGCAAATGGATGAGAGCCAGGGGGTTTTATTAGATTAAGCTCTGGTCCACATTGCAGCTTGTACTGTTTGCCCATTTCAAGGATGTATTTTTGTGGAATATAGTGTGTAAAATATAACATCATCAGTTTTCATCAGTCTGTTACACGTCTATTATCCTCATCAGGTGACAGGAGAAACTGTACAGTAAGTCTCACTGTACAAATAAAAAGGATTTACTGGACAAAAAAAACATCTTGAGGTAAGAAACTAAAATTTCAATTCTGGCCACAATTGATTTACAGTTTATGATTGTTTATGTGACAGATCTATGAGCATCTAATTTCAGCAGGTTCTCCTGCTCTGTGTATGAGTGTTGGGAAAGCACCTACTTTAACCCTTGTGTTGTCAAAAATTACAACAGTGAGTCAATATTAGTGATATTAGTGATGGACCTTTCGTTACTGGTGTTGATGGTGTGTCAGTGATAATTATTATTTTTTAATTATTAGTTTTAATTATTGAACACCATTAAAACTAAAAGATAAACAAACCAAACTCAAACACAATCAAAAGGACATCAAAATAAACAAATAATATACAAACAATGCTTTGTTTACTGTGTTGGCCTGATAACCAGCAGTAGAATAATCAGAAGCATTTGACATGTGTCTGCATTGACATCTCACTATGCTGTCCATACCAACTCTCACAGGATAAACCAATCAAGGAGGATCACGTGACCTCAGCTACAACATTCATTCAGAAGCACAGTATAAAGCACTCACTGCACTCCAACAAAATGGTAAGGTTTAAAATCTAATATGTGAAGTTTATTTGTATACAAATTTCGAGAGGATCACGTGCTGATGATTGTTCACAGCTGTTCCAACTTTAGCTAATGACCGATTATCCTATCAGACGATCCTTAACTCACTATAAATAACCAGACTTTTCTTATCTCAATATCTTCGTCTTGAAGAAACCCCCCCAGCCAACCCTACTTTCTCTCCTTTCAAACGGGCGTCACGGTGGCCAGCGATTAGCGCTGTTGCCTCACAGCAAGAATGCCCCTGGTTTAATTCCTTTCCAAACCAGACGGCATTTCTGTGCGGAGTTTGCTCGTTCGCCCCATGGTTGCGTGGGTTTTCCTCGGATCCTCCGGTGTCCTCCCACAGTTCAAAAGCAAGCACTCTAAACAATTAATCAAAAATACATCAGCTAAACTCTGAGTACACCTTTCAGCATACATATCCGACACTTAGCTACAACAAGCAAGAAGGGGAGTCATTGAGATCTACCTGAGCTCAAACTCCCATCTCGCCTTGCAACAGGAGGGAACCCAGGGCTTGAGTATCTTACAAGCTCAGGGTTCTCTCCCGGGACAGCACGCCAAACTACCTTTACTATCAATCATCAGCTAACTGTGAACTCTTGAAGTACATATTAAACCTCTTTAACATTATTAAAAGTACATGATGAGTGACTGATATGTGCTTGTTTGCAAAGTCAGAGATCTCATTTTCAAGTATGCTTTCTTTCTCAAGATGTAAACCATCTGCTGCTGCTTTCGTTATGGCAGTAAATGCCACGTAAAAAATTATATTCAAAATTATTTTGGTAGCATTTAACACTGACAAAAGCACATAATCAGTACCTGAGGTGATCAATTATAAAAGTTTATACTGTTGTTCAGCACAAGAAATAGAAACCATTTCACATTTCAAGCTTGAATATAAACTCCTTTAACATGGAAAAGATTCCCTTTGTCACGTATCGTCGTATAATATGTAGTTATACATATGGTGTACTATATCATTTTTCATGCTGGTATGCACATCGTTCCATCCTGTTTTGTTATTAAATCCCATCTTTAATAATAATAATTATAATATTAATAATAATAATTCCTTACATTTATATAGCGCTTTTCTGGGCACTCGAAGCGCTTTACACAAAGGGGGGGATCTTCTCATCCACCACCAGTGTGCAGCATCCACCTGGATGATGTGACGGCAGCCATTTTGTCCCAGACCATAAAATGGTTAGGAAACCATGATGGACAGAGGCCAGTGGGCATATTCGTCCAGGATGCCGGGGTGAAACCCCTACTCTCTTTTTTTTTTTCAAAGGACATCCTGGGATTTTTAATGACCAGAGAGTCAGGACCTCGGTTTAATGTCTCATCCGAAAGATACTGCGCTTACTGAGCAGGATAGAGTCCCATCACTATACTGGGTCTTCCATGTTGCAAATGACGTGTATGTAATGTAGTGTGTATTTCACTAGAGGAAAAGAGAAAACAAATTATCAGACTGAAATTGTCCTGTGCTGGAAAATGCCAACTGAATGATCCTACACTTCAGACTGCCTTTCAGGTTTGTATCTGCATTATATGCTCTCGAATTATACCTCAACAACACTGTTTTGAAGCATAAACCCAATGAAATGATTCAAACCAAATGTACTAAACTATTTAAAATTAATTGTCACGATTATTAGCTGGAGTATGTACCAGACTCACTAGAGGGCACTCCATTTGTGTGTACGCTTCACCAGTCATTTACATGAACTACAACCCCTCCGGACACTAATTACAAACTACAGCTAAGTCCATTGTTTTGAGTTGTGGATGTTTTTTGTTTTCTTGCCTGTTTTGATTTGTGGACTGTTTCTTGTTTTATGATTTTTTTTGCCTCCTGCCCAGACTCTGTTTATTGGAATATTCTTGTGGACTAGGGTACTGTTTTGCTCCTGTTTGACCCTTGCCTGTTAACCCTCCAATATAATAAAGCTGCAATTGTAGCATCATCTATGTTGCTATCACCATCACATCCATCAAGCACCACTCATATCATCAAGCTGCTTGTGTTGTAATTTAGAGCTGAAGATAAATCCTGTATTTTAATTTAATCTTTTCCTGCTTGTTTTCCAGATCACTGAAATATTAAAAAGCATGGGACTGGAAAGTGACAGCAAATAAACTGGAGAAATGGGCGCGGTGGAGAGGTGTTTCATCTGGAGAACAATGGTTTGAAATGATCCTAATTAACGCACTGTAAAAATCTAAATGATAACGAGATGGACAGGAAAATATTACTAGTCATAGTACTTTATTAAATATGAACTACATTAAATACTTTACTCCATTTAGCCCAGCTGTAGATAAAAATATTTGCATTTTTACAAGACAATTAAGAGAATATGAATTTAGTTCAATTAAGTTAATTTAATTCCAAAATTAAAAACTAAAGGTGTGTCATAAGAAATGTAATAAAACCCCACATATCTCTGATGTGACCTACTGTAGATAATCATTACTGAGTAACTATATGAAAGCATGGACATCACTGATATGATTAATCACAGATGTGCTCAACTTCCTCTATTAGGCGTCTATCATGTGAAGATTTTGAATTTTGAAGTTTGAAATTTCTGTTTTGTTTTAGGGTTATTTGGGTGTTGTCCTCTTGTACTGTTGGTGCTGAGGTGATTTGTTTTGTTTTTTTTGGTGCCAAAATCTGTGTGTGTGTGTGTACTTTGGTTAGTTAAGGCACTGGTTATCAAGCTGATACTGGCACAGATGTTTGTTTTTTTGTAAAGAGTATGTTTTTAGCCACTAACTTAATGCTATAAAAATGTGTCGTTGTGATTGACAGCTTACCTTAGACCGTCTGGGATGAATGAATTTTTTTTTTTTAACAGGGACGGCATGCATCGGTAATTTTTTTGTCTCATTCTTTGTACAAGCATAAATTAAAGAGCTGTTAATTTGCTGCCCTGACATTGATGAAGTGGAGAAAGTAACACTTACTTGTTTGCTGATACACACCTAACATTAGCTATGACGAGGGGGAAAAAAAACAGGTGACCATTATCTAGCAGTTACAAATTCTTTCATAAAATCCTGTGCCTTGAGCCCTCCTGTTTGCACGGTGAGGGGGAGTTTGAGCTCAGGTGGATCTTGAGAACTCCCCTGCTGTAGTAGCTAAATGGTTTGACGTACAAGCGTTTGGTTGGAAGTTTGATTCCGTCACTGCACCTCTGGCTCCATCCAGTATTCCTTCTGCGCATGCCCAGGCTCCTTTTTCAGCAGTGTTTTGCGATTGTTTGTACTCTTCATCTGGCATTTTGCATTCAATGGAAGAAGGCGCTATCACTTTGTTTATATTTTTTACAGCCTATGGTGAAAACCAGCCTTTTTTGGGAAAGCTTTGTTCATTATATTAAATTTTGTAGCGATTGACTTGCCTGGAAAATGTTTTTCAAATGGGTTATAAATAATTTATAATGTATTCATACAGTTTTTTTTTTCATTTAGAATAGTGCTTTGAGTCAAAATATCTTCCACATGATCCATTAGATTACATATTCTGACCAGCAACAATATGCAAATGTTTTTAATAATAATAAATGCTTTGAATATCAAAATGTCTCATGTCTTGTTAAAAACAAATAACATTTCATTTTACATTTTTATGTGTTACTTTTGATATTAGACTACAATGTTACGGTGCAGACTGAACCTCTTGGTCAAATTCTGAAGCTAATTGAGGTGTTTAAAAATAAAGCAAGGTGTAATTGTTGTGGGGGAAAGTGTTTGAACTCATTGATTTATATTTAAATGTTGTAAAATGGGTGTATGGGATACAACTTTCTGATTGGTAGCTTCAAGCATTTGTCAAACACCTCCTAAACAAATCAATGAGAGCCAGGGGATTTATTAGACTAAGCTCTGGTCTACATTGCACGTTATTCTGTTTGACCATTTAAAGGATGTATTTAGGTGAAATTTAGTGTATAGAATATAACGTCATACGTTTACATCTTTTACTTTTATAGTCTATTTCGTCAGGTGACAGGCAGTGAGTCTCACAGTACAAATAAAAAGGATTTACTGGGCGAAAACTATTTTGAGGTAAGAAACTACAATTTCACTTCTGGCCTCAATTGATTTACTGTTCATGATTGTTTAAAAGACAGAACCGCGCATCTAAATTTAGCAGTTTCTCCTGCTCTCTGTGTTGTCCTAGAATTTTGTATACTTGTTCGCCATTCGAGTCAAAAATGACCCCCTTCAAAAAACCTTTAAAAAAGCAGAAAAATAACTATGTCTATCCTTAAATCTATTTTGTATGGAGAAACAACTACATATGTACATAACTACAAAATCTTCAAATTCAAACTCTGTAAATGTTTTGGTTTTCTCTCATCTGTGTGCAATACTTCATCTAAGTATATTCAGTGGGCACAACATTTGACTAAAGCGAAGGGCATATTTTTCTAATGCTAAAAGTATTTGCATAAGTGTAAATGGATTTTAGCAAGTCAGTATTCATAAAATGTAACCTTAAATTGGGACCTCTGATTAAGAGGGTGTCACAGGCTGTATGTTTATATTAAAATTTATTTCTATTTTTTTGTTGTTGTTGTTGTTGTTTTAATGAAAGCATGTAGACTAACTTTTATATGTAGGAATGAGGTTGATTTTGGCCAGAAAATCTAAAGGATATGATGAGTACTTGCATTTATAAAACCTTGCATATGGACATCTGCATGCATATTCAACATTATAAATTGCAGTCTACCCGAGGAACTGCTTCTGGAAAAGTCTTAAATATCACTCTAAAATCTTAAATATGCACCCAATCTTAGCCATATTTGGTAATTTGGTCTCCATACGAGTGTGAGGAGTGTGTTAGACCTACCTGTTTGTGATTTTGTTTTCTTGCGTGTCGCCTTCATGTTTCGTCACGGAGCACATGCTCTTTGTTTTGACAGTTCGCCATGTGCTCTTCCGTCAGCGTTTCCTTTTCCCCACCTCCTTGTTATTCACTTATTAAACAATTATTGTCACCTGTAGCTCCTTGATCTTCTCCTCTATTTAATTCCCGCTTGCCTCCTTGTCTTTGTCAGACCGTCTTGTGTGTTTCGCGAGTTCACTCGCTCTAGACCCGCGTTTATCCTGTCTTGTCTTGTGTATCGTTATCTATCTGGCTCCATAGAGATTAGTTTCGGTTTTCGTTCGCCCTCTCTGCTCATCTCTCTTCTGCCCTGTCAGGCTATCTTCGGTGTCATTGCTTGGGGCGCTCGGACTCCATCGCCTGCCGACATCCGGCCACCTGCAGCTGCTCGTCTTCCGGCTGCTCCGCCCACTAAGCCTGGATACTCACCACCTCCACGAGTCCGCCACCTTGTGGACATTCAATTGAACTACAGTCCAGTACTAGTTACTGCTGCCTGAATTACCCTTTTTATTCAGTGCTTTTTCTTTTATATTTTTGATCCTCTGTCTGAGGCATTTTTGATTTTTGAAGTTAAAATAAATCTTCACCTGCATATTGAATCTGTGGTTTCTTCCTGACAGAACGGTCTGACCAGTTATGGATTCAGCAGGTGCAGATCAAGTGAGAAATGCAGTGACCCAGCAGGGCATTCTCCTAGGACAACAGGCTACTCAATTAACTGCCACTTCACAAGAGGTTGAGTTTCTGACGGCTCGTGTTGCGGAACTCAATGATCTAGTCCAGGATCTACAGCTAAACCTCAGAGCCGGTAGGCAGGCAGCCTTCCCTCTCCACCCTGATCATGAGCCGCACGCTAATTGTCCACCACAATATGACGGGGACCCCAACTCCTGCCGATCTTTCTTGTCTCAGTGTTCACTGGTCTTCGCTCTCCAGCCACGCCGTTACGCCACTGAGGAGTCCAGAGTGGCATTTGTGATTACACTTCTTAAGGGCAGGGCCCGAGACTGGGCCACCGCTGTGTGGGATGCACGTGCTGCCTTTTGTGCCACTTTTGATGACTTTCGTAATGAGATGACCAAGCTGTTCGATCGGTCAGCTCACGGGGATGAGGCAGCTTCTCTTTTGGCCCAGCTAAGCCAGAACGGGCGTTCAGTGACTGACTACTCTGTTCAATTCAGGACCCTAGCAGCGGTCTGCGCTTGGAACGAAGCAGCTCTCCGAGCGAGGTTCCGGGACGGTCTGGATGATGAGATTCAGGACGAAATCGCCACTCATGACCTCCCTCATGACTTCGACGCCCTGGTTGACCTTGCTCTCCGTGTTGAGGGCCGCCTCCGCCGCCGCCAACATCGGCGAGCGACCCGTTCCTCCTGGAGGGCTGAGGAGGGCTTTTCAAACTTGCTCCACACCCCTCCTCCCATTCCGGATCAGGAGCCGATGCAGTTGGGGCATCTGCGGCTAACCACACAGGAGAAACGACATCGGTTGGCTAGGGGCTTGTGCCTGTACTGTGGGAAACCGGGTCATCAGGCTGTCCGGTGTCCGTTAAAAGCCCCCGCTCACCAGTAGTACGGGGGATTCTGGTGGGCACTATCCCTTGCTCTGACACCCCCACATACCGTACCTCACTGCCAGCCTCTCTACAATTCGGAGATGTCGTCCATTCGTGCTCTGCCCTGATCGACTCCGGAGCCGAGGGCAATTTTTTAGACAGCACCACCGCTGAGTCCTGGGGCATTCCGGCTATCCCTCTTTCCTCTCCTATCACTGTCCGCTCCCTCAATGGTCTTACCATCACCTCCATCACCCATTCCACTCCTTCTGTAAGTTTAATTATTTCTGGCAATCACCGTGAGGATATTAGTTTATATTTATTTGACTCCCCGAGTGCTCCTGTAGTATTGGGGCACCCGTGGCTAACCAAACACAATCCTCATGTTGATTGGTCAACTAGTTCTGTGTTATCTTGGAGTCCGTCTTGTCTTGCTTTGTGTCTTGGTCCTGCCCCGTGTTCTGGTTCTGTTTCTCATGTGTTGCAGGTCGAAGCTGTAGATCTCTCCGGAGTCCCGTCGGAATATCACGATCTGCGTCAGGTCTTCAGCAAGTCCCGTGCTACTTCCTTACCTCCCCACCGACCATATGATTGTGCCATCGAGCTCCTCCCAGGCTCTTCTCCGCCCAGGGGTCGGTTGTATTCCCTTTCACGTCCGGAAAGAGAGGCCATGGACAGGTACATTCAAGAGTCTTTAAAAGCCGACCTCATCCGTCCCTCTTCCTCCCCGGCTGGGGCTGGGTTCTTCTTTGTTAAAAAGAAGGATGGCTCTCTGCGTCCTTGCATTGACTACAGAGGTCTTAATGACATCACAGTTAAGAACAGGTACCCTCTGCCTTTGATGTCTTCTGCCTTTGAGTTATTGCAGGGAGCCAAGGTCTTTACTAAGCTAGACCTCCGCAACGCCTATCACTTGGTCCGGATACGTGAGGGGGATGAGTGGAAGACCGCATTTAACACACCCACGGGACACTTTGAATACCGGGTCCTACCATTCGGGCTCACTAATGCCCCGGCTGTCTTCCAGGCCCTGGTCAATGACGTGCTGAGAGACATGGTGAATAGATTTGTCTTTGTGTACCTTGATGATATCCTCATCTTTTCCCCTTCCAAGCAGGTACACACTCAGCATGTTCGACAGGTGCTGCAGCGGCTGCTGGAGAACCAGCTTTATGTCAAGGCGGAGAAGTGCGTGTTCCACACTAAGTCTGTTTCGTTCCTGGGGCATATTGTCTCGACGGAGGGAATCAAGGCTGATCCTGCTAAGGTAAGGGCCGTGGCCGAGTGGCCAATCCCCAACTCTAGAAAGGCTCTGCAGCGGTTCTTGGGGTTCGCCAACTTCTATAGGCGATTCATCCGGAACTTCAGCTCGGTCGCTGCACCCTTAACAGCTCTCACCTCTCCTAAGGTACCGTTCATATGGAACAGTCGAGCTCAGGAGGCCTTTGATGTTATAAAGTCCCGTTTCATCACTGCTCCTGTTCTTTCTCTTCCAGATCCTGAACGGCAGTTTATTGTTGAGGTGGATGCTTCTGAAGTGGGGGTAGGCGCGGTCCTTTCTCAGCGGTCCCTTAGGGATGGGAAGGTGCATCCTTGTGCCTTCTTCTCCCACCGCCTGAGCCCAGCCGAACGAAACTATGACATAGGTAACAGAGAGTTGCTGGCTGTCAGGCTGGCCCTGGGGGAGTGGTGCCACTGGTTGGAAGGAGCAGCACACCCATTCTTGGTCTGGACGGATCATAAAAATTTAGAATATATCCGTTCAGCCAAAAGATTGAATTCCCGTCAGGCTCGCTGGGCACTCTTCTTTGGTCGATTTACCTTTTCCCTCTCGTACCGGCCGGGATCCAAGAACATCAAACCTGATGCTCTCTCCCGGCTATTCGACGTCCCTGGAGAGAATGCTACCCCAGTAGCCATCCTCCCGAGAGGAGTGGTGGTGGGGTCTCTCTCTTGGGACGTCGAGCGGCGGGTGAGAGAGGCCGGTCAAGGAGGGGAAACACCGGAAGGGTGTCCGGGGGGTCGCCTGTTTGTGCCAATTCGGCTAAGACCGGAAGTCCTCCAGTGGGGTCATGAATCCAGAGTAGCCTGTCACCCAGGAATCCGGAGGTCGCTGGCTACCATTCAAC